GGGATGCCAAAACTGGCCACCTACACTTCTGGCTTCAGTTTCTCCACTTAAAAAATGAACTGGGCTGGGTGACGGGGAGGGGCTTACATAGGAGCACTTCCACTATGAGGTGAGGGGGGAGGCTGATGTGAGGAGGAGGCTGACCGCAGCATCTTGTGGCCTCTGACCAGGTCTCGGGGAAGAATGGGAGAACCCTAATAATTCATATCTCCCGTAAGGCTTCTGGGCCTCAGGGGAAAGGGGAAGTTGTGACCCTTGAAGTGTCCAAGGTACCACATGGAAAAAGGAGCAAGGGAAATGGAAGGTTTGTTTTAGTCTGTGAAAAAGAAGACTTAAGATGAAGGTTCCAGCAAGGTCTTTAAAGGTGTGGAAGATGCTTCTACTGTCCTAAGGTATAAACAAAGGAAATGGAATCCTTGGTGTTGGGGGGTGGGTTAGGCCATTCATAGGAAAGGGCTAGATCAGGAGGAGTCCTGGGGAGGATGCTGGGTGAGAGGTGAGGGAGAGTGGACACGCGCCTTGGGGGTGGGGGGCTCTGATGAGGTGGTAATGGCAGCCTCGCATTAGGCCTGCCCAGTGTGCTTTGCTGATGAGCTTGATCACGCTCTGAAAGCAGTGCGGCTGTTACATGAGCACCTACTATGCTCCAGGACTTGTGCTGTGCTGGGGGGCGGGATGAGCAAAAGCTCCCGCTGTTTCCACAGGGGAGGGCTGGGTGGTTCCCAGGCTACTACTGAGTGAATTAGAAGTGGAGGAAGCATGTGAGGGAGGGTGTCATTACCACCTGTGGTAAGTGCTTTGAAGGCCAAGCTCTGGCCACGAGAATGGATGGGAGGGGGGAGGGGGTGTTAGAAGAAGGCTCCTCTCCGCCCTGTAGGGCCACCTATATTATGTAATCTTCACAGCAAGACATGGGTTAGCATACCCATTATGTGCCTGAGGCTCAGGGGTATCCAGCCTGCAAAGGTCACAAGAAGGTCCCAAGAGTCAGCCAGTGTCAGGGGTTAGCACAGGGTGTGAGTGCCCTGACCTGTCCCACTGAACACGCCCACCCCCTAGTGCCCCTGTTTTACAGACAGAGCCTCTTCCCAAAGGGGGGGACCCAGGGAGGAACTTCTCAGGCCTGAGCTGTGGCTTCTCCATCATCAAATGGGCTCAGGGCGGATGAAGCAGAACAGGACAGACGCGCAGTGGGCAGGGGAGGCCTGGCTCTAGGCCGTGGGCAGGGGAGGCCTGGCTCTGGGCCATGGGTCTGGCTACCTGGCCACACCACACTCTTGTCACCACCACGCAGTTTTGGTATCAGGTGTGGGGCCTGAAGCCAGGGGGAGCGGGGGCACCAGGAGGCAGCCTCCCTCCCCAGTGCAAAGGCAAACCCAGGCTCCCCTGGGCGACCTCTTGGGGGTTCAGTACAGTTAGAAAAGGCCATCACAGGTGAAGGAGCCCAGTGGGACAGAAACACCAGGAGCTACACACTTGTTTTTATCTTCTTAGTCAAAGTTGAGTTTTGTACAGGCATTGCTTTCTCCTACGAACCAACTCCGTGCTTCACAGGACTTTTTCTAGTAGCTCCTTCTAGAAGTGTGAAAAGAAACAGGCGAAATTAATTTGAATGTATTTGATTTAACTGAATGTGTGCAAAGGCAGACAGTTTCAGCATGTGGTCAGTAACCAATGACTAGGAGCAAGTGGGACATTTCCTTTTAGGGCCACTGGAGGCCAGGGGCCCAGGCTGGGCAGCACAGTCCAGGTCAGAGATCTCATCACTGCCTCCCCTCGCTCGGGGCTGGGCGGCCAGCAAGTCACCTGGAGAAGTGGCCCCCCTGTCCACCTATGCTTCTGGCCGTGCCTCCGCTTTGGGCCTCTGGGCTGCCTGGGGATGGAAGGCGTTGAGGTGGGAGCTGGGAGGCCATGGAGTGGGGACAGAATGGAGGCGAAAACCCCCAGGACGGCGTCCAGGGCTGGAGGAGGCGAGCGGGCCCGACCGGGGGCCCGCCCACGCCCACGCGGGGCGGCAGCGGGTGTGGGGCGCGGTGGCACAGAGCCGGCGGGGATCAGAAGCCCGTAGCCCGCATTGTTCGCCTGTCACACTTCCTTTGGCTTTATTGCCTTTGTCCAACACCCTATTGTCTGGCTTCCTTTTGTCCCCCCTTCAGCGATGCTGCCTTTTATTTTCCAGCCAGCCTGGTTGTTTTCGTTTCTTTTGTCTGAAGTTCCTGAGAGGAAGGTTTTATTTTCAGCGGTTTGATTAATTCACAGCTTGAGCCCGGGGTTTGTTTGTTATGTAATTGGTGCCCTCAGCTTCAGGATAATGCCCCCTCCCCAAATCCCCCTCCCCCACGGCCCCCCTGCTCGGGCCGGCTCTGCACCCCGCCCTGTGCCCGGATGGGCTGGGCCGAGCTGCCTGCTTCCTGGAGGTTTTCCAGGTCCCTGGACGGTGGGGGGGAGACCGGGAGCCAGACAGCCCCCAGCCAGCGGGGCCTGGGTCTTCTCGGCTCACTGCCCCTCACCCTGCGCTGCCCAGTCCAGGCTTCCAGGCCATTCCAGGCATTTTGAAAGTGACAGGAGAGTCTGGTGTGGTCCGATCTGTGGGATGGTATCTCATTCAGCTGTGCAGCTCTTCAGGGTATTTAATGTACATGATGAACTCCTATAGTAGACCCATCTCTGGCCATGCATTGTTCTTACAAAAGGTTTATTGTGCAGGCTTGGTGCTGTAGACCAATATTCACTTGTACCATGCATTTAAGATATGCTTCACTATATCTCTTTATTGGCTTCCACCTCCCCCAGTTTAATGCCATATAAAAAACTTTTATTTTGGGCCCTCCCTGGTTGTGCAGTGGGTTGAAGCACAGCACTACGAAGCTAAAGCAACTTCAGCATGAATTCGATCACCGCCCTGGAAGTGACCCACATGGTGCCGCAGACCTCTCCTGACCCGCCCGCTGCTCCCCTCAGCAGTGTACTTCATCGATCTGCCTGTTCTGCTCCCCACTCTGCCCCTGCACCTCTGGCCTGTACCCCAGTTCTGAATGCATAAATAAGTCTTTTAGGAAAAAAAGATTATTTTTGTTTAATCATTTACTCTTGTTAAAAACTTAAAAGAAATTATTTATATTTATGCATACAGAACTGGGGTACAGGATACAGGCCAGAAGTGCAAGGGCAGTGAGAGGATTCAGCAGAGACAGAGTGGGGAGCAGAACAGGCAGATTGACAAATACACACACTGCTGAGGGGAGCAGCTGGCCAGTGCTGTGGGGAGCACAGGCGAGACAGGAGAGGTCTGCTGCTGTGCCATGTGGGTCACCTGCATGGCAGGGATCGAACTTGGTGCTAAGCGGCTGTTACTAGCTCCCAGAGCTGTGATTTAACCCACTGCGCCACCAGGGAGGGCCTTGTTAAAAACTTTTAAGAACATTTTTTTAGCAAATCTCGTTAAGAAGATCACCATACTGCCACCTCCAGACATTTCATGGTTCACCCCTGACTTCGCCTCTCCAACAAGCCTCAGGCTTAAAGACTCCACGTGGCCCTCACTAGGGCCACACACTGTTTTAAACTCGAGGCCTCCACAGTCTCCTGCGTGTCCATTTTACAGATGAGGAAGCTGAGGACTGGGAGGTTAATAAAAAAAAGCCTGCTCATGGTCACGCAGTGGTTCTTGGGGGAGCCGCGCCAGGACCTACCTCTACCTTGGTGACTCTGCAGGTTGAGCAAGAGAGCCCTGGGCCTCTGCCCCTCCGGCCTCAGCGTGCATGGCTAATCCAAGCACAAACCAGGGGTACGCTGCTTCTCGGGGAGTTGTGGGGTCGCAGGCGGGCAGGTGGGAGCCCTGGAAGCAGAGTCTACTTCAGCCAGGATTTGCAAATAAATGTCTGATGCTTTCCGGAAGGCCACCCATCTCCCTGCTTGTGGTTTATTTCCCCACGTTTGGCAGACTGATGGGAAACGAAAGAAAGACTTCATGTTAGTCTCTAAGAAGACCTAAAAGAATGAGTGTTTTACGTGTACAGTGTTGGGATGTGCAGGGAGTGGTGAGGACTCAGGCAGCGTCCTGTGTTTATTTATTTTTGTTGTTGCTGAGTAATATTCCATTTTTGTTTAATCATTTACTCTTGTTAAAAACTTTAAAAAAATTATTTATACTTTTAATTCAGTCATTGTACCCCCGTGTTTATTGCTGCTTTATTTACAATAGGAAAGACATGGAATCAACCCAAATGCCCAAAAGTAGATGACTGGATTAAAAAGATGTGGTGCATATACACGTTGGAATATTACTCAACAATCAAAAAGATAAACACATGCCTTTTGCAGCCACATGGATGGAGCTGGAAGGGATCATGCTTAGTGAGATAAGCCAGAAAGAGAAAGAAAAATACGGGATGGTTTCACTCATAGCAGGAGTATAAAGGACCAGGGGGAAAATAATAACAATGAACAGCTATATACCAGAGACATTTTAAGGAGGTGGAGTGGGGAATGGGATCAAAAATGGGGGGAGGGAAGTGCTCTGGACAATGGTGATGGCACATGGGTGAGTTGGTGGTGGGAAGCCCACGGGGATTACAGATAAGATGGGAAAAGGCACAACATGATTTAAAAATAAACTATTATAGATATAAAAAAAGGCCTCCCTGGTGGCATAGGGGTTGCGTCTCAGTGCCAGCCACTGCAGCACGAATTTGAACCCTGGCCAGGGAGCTGACCCACATGACGTAGCAGACCTCTCCTGATCCACCCGCTGCTCTCCCCAGCAATGTATTTCAGTCAACCTGCCTATTCTGCTCCCCATTCTGTCTCTGGTGAATCGTTTCAGCCTTCAACACCACTATCTTGCATCCCAGTTCTGTATGCATAAATAAATAAACCTTAAAAAAAAAGGGAAAATACATTTTGAGTGCATGTGCCTGTTTGGACTGGGGAGAGGGGCAGGAAGTATGGGGTCACCCCACTGGCCCTCAGGATTCATTTGTCTGCTCCTCTGCCCTCAGGATGTCCATGAGGAGTCCCGGATCTGCCCAGCTGGCCCTGGATGGCGCTGGCACCATGGTGAACTGCACTGTCAAGTCAGAGGGGAAGAAAGAACTCTGCCATGAGGCCCCCCAGGGAGCAACCGCCACAGCTGAACCCCAGCCTGGAGACTCAGCCCGGGCCCCCCAGGATGGTGCAGATCCCCAGGCTCCAGCTCAGGTGCCCAGCACTTTCCCAGGGGTTCTGGGTCAGTGTCCCCCGCTGGTCTCTGTAGCCCACACCCAGGGACTCTATGGGCACCCAACCCCCAGCTGGGCAGTGGGGGAGGCAGAGCCTGAATCTCTGAGGCAGGACTCGAGTGAGTGGAGAGGGCCTGCCAGGGGCGGCCTGGGGGACACCCGGCCATCCTTCTACGCGCACTCACTTGATGTTAGCGCTCTCCGGCTGCGCCCTAGTCCTTAGGATGACTGAGGACGAGTTGGAAGGGTAGGGTCAGCAGTTCAGAGATTGACTAAAGGTCACTACCAGCTTTTCCATAGGATTGGAGGGAAGCAGGCTACTTATCCCAGCCGGAGTTGGACCGTTGTTAAAGGCCATTCCCCAACTCCCTAAAGCGAGGAAGCCGTCAGGGTCCTAGCGGTTCCTCAGAACGCTGCAATTCTGTGCAGAGATACCAGAAGGAAACATCATTTACAACCCCAAGGAGGGGAGTTTCAGGCCTCTGAGGCAGGAGCCAGCCTGGGGAATACGGGAGGGATTTACGGACGGGGGTGGATCCTGGCGGATTCAGGGTCGATGCCAGGCCTTCCGGAGTGGAGAGGACTTAGACAGAAGAGGGTGCCGGGTCTTAGCAGAGGGGTGGGGGGGGGTGCTGGGCAGAACTGGTCTTGCTACCCCTGCAGTGCCAGCCTCACCACACGCATCCACGCCCTTCACCCCAGCTGCAGCCCCAGGACAGGGTGGGGGTTAGGAAGTCCCCTCTTGGAAGACACAAGCCAGGTGCAGGGAGCTTGAGGTTCTTGTGGATCAAGCACCTGGTGAATCCCCAAGCTTGGGCTGGAACCCAGATTCTCAAACTTGGTCCTTTCAGTCTGTTCAGCAAAGTCAGAGCAAAGGTGGGGAGGGTTGGTCCTGGGGGTGGACCCTGGGATTTCCTCAGGGGATGCCTGTCTTAGGATATTTGGCCTGTCCTACAGCCAGCCCCCTTCTTGGGGGTGACAGTGACATTCAGTGTGTCTTGCAGGACTGCAGTTCTCCAGAGAGCAGGGGCTCCCCAGAACCCAGGAGACCGGGAGGCTCTGAGGTGGCCTCTGGAAGCCAGGAGAAGCTGGACTTCAACCAAAATTTGAAGGCAGGTAAGCTCTGTCCCCAGCAGAGGCAGACGCTGTGTGAGGCTTGGGCCAGTGAGGGCTGGGGACAGCTGCCAGAGCTCTTTGTATCTTCCAGTTGTACCTGCTATCGAGAAGCTGCTGTCCAGTGACTGGAAGGAGAGGTTTCTGGGAAGGAGCTCTGTGGAAACCAAAGATGTCAAAGGTGAAGGCTGTGTGAACCCTTCCCTTCTCCAGGCCTGGCCATGCCCCCAGGGTCTGGGGGGCAATTTTGGGGGCTCTCGCTGCCCTCATTTCTCACCTGCACTACTCTAGCTCCTGCCTATCTGGAGGTCAGCACCACTTCTCGCCCGGGGGCCTGTCTCAACCCCATGCAGGCAAGGCCTGGCAGGAATCACATGCCAGGATCTGGGTTTGGGCTCTCACGAGGGACCCACAACCTTGGGTAGGTCATGGCCATTTTCCAGCTCTAACTTCTAGTTATCTTATAGATGAGCCTAACGTGACCCCAGTCTTCACTGCTGATGCTAATTCTAGGCCACTGGGCCTCACTAAGTGAGCGGAAGTGGTTATTCAAGGGCTGCTGCTTAGACGCATTAGGGTGTTCATTCCTCAGCAAGGCTGAATCACAGCCACAGAGGGACCTGCAAACTGCAGGCGCCCAGGCCGACCCACCAGCCCAGTGAGAACCCCAGTGGCTGGGGGCCTGGGTGTTTGTATTTTTCAAAGGCAACTTGGGGGACCCTGTGCAATGGCTGCAGCCAGCACTTAGGTCACTGTGGTGTCCGATCTCTGCTAAGTGCAAGGACAGGGGTACACTGATGTTTGCTGGGGGAGGACCACGCGCCAGGTTCTGGACTAAGAGCTTTGCACTCATTATCTTTCGTCCTCATGATAGCCCTGTGGTGTGATGGTTCTTGGGTTTACTTATATCCTGGAAAAATGAAAGTGCAGAGATGTTGGTAATTTGTCTAACAACTCGTAGGTATATAGAGTTGAGGTTTGAATCCAGGTGTGTCCTGTGGGGTGGCCTGGGCCCAGAGGCCAGGGGCAGGCTGAGACCGAGACCCTCCCCCCTCCCCTCCACAGCATTGGTAGGGCCTGGAGTCAGTGACCAGTGGTGGAAATTTCTAGGGCCAGCTAGTGGTCAGGTAGCAAGATCCCTGCAGGGGTCTTGTCTCGACTGTCCCAGCCTGACAGGCCTGGGTTGGAGCAGAGTCTCAGGAAGTGTCCCATGGCTAGTGTTGCCTGGATAGATGAACCAAAATTCTCAGTGTGACTGTTTCCCTATGGAGCAGGGACCCAGGAGAGCCTGGCAGAAAAGGAGCTCCAGCTTCTGGTCATGATCCACCAACTGTCCACCCTGCGGGACCAGCTCCTCACGGCCCACTCGGAGCAGAAGAACATGGCCGCCATGCTCTTTGAGAAGCAGCAGCAGCAGATGGAACTGGCCCGGCAGCAGCAAGAGCAGGTGGGCCGGGCTTCCTTCCAGGGAGGCGTCTGTCAGGCATTGAGGGAAGCATTTGTGTTGGGCCAACCCGCTGCAGCGGGTCCCACCTCTGGCTGTTGGGAAGCCCTGGCGGAGGGATGTGGTGTCAGGGGTATGAGGGGCTCTGAGTAAGAGCAGTTGGCTACCCCCTTCTCATGCGCCACCCCTGGTTTCTGAGGGGAGGATGAGCTCCCCACAAAAGGAGAATCAATTCTGAGGATGGTCTTGTTTGCTGTCTCTCCTCTGTGGTTTGCACTAGTCGGGGAGACTTTTGGGGAGGTGGGGACCTGGGCCTACTGTCCTGGCTCACTTTGGCTACTCTTTTCTGCCAGATTGCGAAGCAGCAGCAGCAGCTGATTCAGCAGCAGCATAAGATCAACCTCCTTCAGCAGCAGATACAGGTACAAAGAGGGCCAAGCTGGGCCAGGGAGTGGCAGGAAGTTCAGGGGTGCCAGCCTGGAGCGGGGGAGGGCTGGCCCAGTGGCTCAGGCAGAACCCCAGGTTCTGTGGCTCATTTCTGCTGTAGTCCCCTCTTTCTTCTTCCATGTTTTTTTTTTTAAGATTTATTTGTGCATACAGAACTGGGGTACAGGCCAGAGTTGAAAGTGGGGGGGTGAGAGGATTCACCAGAGACAGAGTGGGGAGCAGAACAGGCAGATCGACGAAGTACACTGCTGAGGGGAGCAGCGGGCGGGTCAGGAGAGGTCTGCTGTGCCATGTGGGTCACCTCTGGGGCAGGCGGGGATCGAACTCATGTGGAAGTGGCTTTCGATTCTTAGTGCTGCACTTCAACCCGCTGCTCCACCAGGGAGGGGCCCTTCCCTGTTTAAGGGAGGGACCAGTATAGCTTTCTTCTCAGTGAGGCCCCGTGGAGGTGGCAGGGACCTTTTGAAGACTGTCTCTGCCCCGGGCCCTGGGCTTCCCTCTCTGCCCAGGAGTGGCCACAGCTGGGTAGCTGTTTGGGCCGCCACGGACTCACACAGCGTCTCTCTGCCCTCAGCAGGTCAACATGCCTTACGTCATGATCCCGGCCTTCCCCCCCAGCCACCAGCCTCTGCCTGTCCCCCCTGACTCCCAGCTGGCTCTGCCCATTCAGCCCATCCCCTGCAAACCAGGTGAGTGGGGGGCAGGTGCTGCTGCTGAGCTGGCCTGCGGTTAGGAAGGGAAGAGCCGGGAACCCCCCTCCGTAATGGCAGAGGGTCTTCCTGGGTCCCGCCCAGTGGAAGAGCAGTCTGGTCTTAGTCCACTGGGAGAAGGGAAAAACAGCATGTTGGGAACCCCGAAACATGCTTTCCAGATATAAGCAGATGTGGCCAGCCACTTCTGGCACATGGACTGTGCTGAAATACTTTTCTCTTAAAATCTGTTTTGTTGTTTTTGGTTCCTTTCTTGGGGTTCTGTACCAGAATATTGATGTCTAGAACATTACCTATGCTGGGTGCATCTCCCCAGCCTGCGCCTCCCTCCTGCTCAGACCGGGCTACCCTGCCCTCACACCCTCCCCAGGCAGCACCAGTGTCAGGGGGCACCCGAGGCATTAGGACGTGGGCACACTTGGAACTCAAAGGAAGGACAGTCTGGGGAGGGAAGGGGGTACCAATAATGGGGTGTCCGGGGAGAGATCTCTTGAGGAAGTGGCGCTTGATGGGTCCTGGGTGCTTGTGAAGAGGGATGCTGGGGGCTGGCGGAGACCCTGGACCCCGAGGCAGGGAGTTGCAAGGGGGTGCTGGAGTTGAGGGGAACACAGGATGGGTTGTGGGAACTGGCTGGGGAAGGCAGATAGGCCAGGTGGCCTTGGGTGAGCTTGACTGTTCAGTAGAGCACGTGTTGAAACTCGTGTGTCTGACAGACCCAGGAGGGGTTGGGGGAGGCGCTGTTGAGGGACTCTGGTGACAGGGTGTCTGGTGGGACAGAGCCAGAGCCAGAATTTAGGCCAAGGTCACCGATCCCCTGGGAAAGATGGCAGAAGCAGGGCAGGGCGCTGCCATCTTGATCCAGGCGAGGACAGTTGTCAGCTGACCTCCGCTCGTCCACTGTGCCACTGGAGAGAAAAGGCAAGAGGACCCACTGGCTGAGTCCCTGTGGGTCCCACGAAGGCCGGGGGCCACAGGCAATGTTCCCGTGTCTGCCCCACTTGGCACTCTGCAATCCGGGGTGGCGAAGGGGCACATGAGGGCCTGAGAAAACCAGCCACTACTTAGAAGGACCTTTGTGGGGCAGGGACTGGAAAGGGGAGGTCTATCTTGTGGACGAGGGAGGCAGGACATACACTGTGGAAGACCTGGACTGGCCCGGCTGCTACTGACTGTTCCAGAACTCTAGCAAGCAGGGGCCCACACCAGGTGCACCTCCCCAAAGCTGCGTAAATAGTGCCTGTCCCTGAGTCCACCGTGCCCACCCTCCAGCGCTGCCTGCCCACACAGCAGACATAGCTCGCCACACACGCACACACACACACACACACACACACACACACACACACCCGGAACACGCTTCTCCA